TTTCCTTGTGGGATCTGTGGAAAACTAACAATTTCTGGGACGGGATATTGTCCTAAGCACGCGAAGAGGGTTTATTTTCGAAATTGGTATGAGAGACAAAAGGCGCAGAGAATAGAAGCTGATGAATAATTTTACTCACTATTGCCGAAGATGCTATAGATATCAGTTTTAAGCGTCACAAAAACCAGTATATATAACACAAAGTTTGCATAATATTTTTATCTGAAATTTTTATATTAACTAGTTCGTAGGAGCAAAAAATCCCCTATATCGAAGCTCCTACCCGCAAAATTCACCTATTCGCTCCTTAATTTTATACACTTATAACTTACCATAGCATACCATTTTCCTGGAGTATGTTAACAGTTTTTTTCCAGTCCTCGTCAGTACCCAGCCATGATGAGATGATTCCATCTTCCTCAAGAGAACGGCGTATTATTTCTTCACTTATTAATCTTTCTCGCACTGTCATGTCCATATATTCACTGGGATCTTCTTCAGCCTCCTTTGCATAACCGCACATTCTCGCATCAGTCTGCATTCTATCACGGAATGCTATGGAATCGAGCTTATCTTTTTCAGTTATAGTAACGAATTTATCGGGATCCTCGCCAAGCTCAATAGCTTTTTTACGAAGACGTACCTCTCGTTGCTCCCTGGTCGAATATCCGGGTGGGTATGATATCTGCTGGGGAGTTTCTTCATTGCTGGATTTTAGTTCGTCCTCTACAGCTGGGTCTGGAGAAATTTCGGGCTCATCATTCACCAATGAGGTATAGCCTCCTCGAATCTCTGATTTCTCGATAATTTCCAGAGATTTAGGTTTATCGTCTATTGGATCTACATATTCGATCTCAGGTGACATAGATACATTAGTAGACCCGGATGACGAATCAATTGAATTTTTTTCTTGACCTGTTATATAATCGAAGAGGTCTTGGGTCATGCTAGTAGTGAATGGAGCGGGTGATGAATCCTTACCTTTTTCAATATACAGTAATCGGTGGCTAATGGTTCTGCTATCTTTTTTTCTGATTCGGATGCAACAATTTCAGGTATGTCGAATACAGGGATATCTGTGGATGTGTTGGCGGGTATCTCAGTTTGAGGTGTGTCAGCAAATTCTTCTATGTCACCGACTGATTCACGTAACTTGGTCACGATTTTTGTTCGATCAAGGATATACTGCCATTCTCTTTTTCCATTGATTCGTACTTGCTTGCGTTCTATACCAATTGTTGGAAGAGTTTTTCCAAATTTTTTACTAGTGAATGAATTTTCACCATTTCTTTCACACCAAATACGGTAATCCTGGTATAAATTCGAACATATTGGTTTCTCAGTCCTATTTTCAGACCAAGATAAAATATGATCAATTATGAATCGAATTGGATTTGCTAGGTGTTCCATCATTGTATCTGTTTTCATTTTAGTAGCAGGAATATCTTGTGGATTCCAATCTGAGATATCAAGACTGAGTAGATAAGCCATAACTACACTAGGTGCGTCGGGATGTTCTAACACTTTGGCTAAATTCTTAAAATATGCTGTATTACCTTTACAACGGGGAGATACATCGAAACACACGATGCGCCGATCACCCATTTCTACTCGGAGTGGGGCATCATGATTACTTAATACCATAAATCCAGCATAATCTTTTAGGACTTTGGGTTCGAGTCCTTTGCGCTCGATTGTTAAATAATCTTCTGTAACGAGAGATTTGAGATGATCATTATATTTATGCCAATCCCCACTACTCATTCCCGTCTCATTCATAACAATTAGTTTACGTGCCTGAATGCAACTATTAAATCGTCCCAATATTTTCCCAAGATCGGATGTTGCATAGAAAAGTTCAGAACCCAGAATTTGTTTACCTATGAAATCGATTAAGATATTTTTTCCACAGCCCGGTAAGGAACGTAATACTGGAATGGTTCCAGGCTTCTTAGATGGTTGTCGTACTAGATATCCTACCCAATGCCAGAAATATTTACTAAGTTCTTCATCACCACCAGAGATTATATTTTTTACATGCCATAAAATTGGATCCATAACGGCGGGATTAATCTCCCTTGCTGGCTGAGCTTTGAATCCTAGAAAGAGATTAAAGAACTTAGTATTCGGTAAAGGAGTGTTGGGAGAATATGGCAGGAAATCGATATTACGATACAGAATCAGACCTTCAACAACTGCTTGATCTATCAATAATCTTAAATCAATCGATTCCCCTTGATATTCCATTATTCTAATTTCATACCCTGCCATGTCTAGTTTGGGCGCCATATCGAAGAAAAGACCATTATTTGAATCTTCCATTTTAAGTAGCCATAATCTCGAAGATGTTTGAATACATGCGACTGTTGCTTGAATTGCCTCATATACTTCATTACGAGTGAAAATTTCCTTAGAAGTACACATATCAATTAAGTCACCCCATGTAAAGTGATCGTTTGGATCCGAAATTCTAGACCGTTCTAATTTTTCTGGAAGGGGGCGTTTTTTTTCTTTATTTTTAATTGTTTCGTTAATAACAAGTTTTAATGATGGTTTTCTTGTACCTGCTGGCGTGTCTTGATCTGCTCGATGGCAGTAATAATAGTAAGTTTTCTTATTTCGGATTACATATGCGTTATCACTAGTATGCTCCCGACTACAGAGTGGGCATTGAGATTCTGCTATGCGATTTAGGGGGAATACATTTGGGAGTGTAGGAGCAGGATATAAAACTTCAAAACCTTCGATTTTATATTCCTCAAGTAATTTTTCTATGAATTCTATTTCAGATCTAATAGTCCCGGCATCGTTTTTACAATTTTCTGTTATTTTTTCTTTTACCCGTACCAGCTCTGCTAAGACATTCAACGTTGGACTGTCTACAATTGGTGAATCATCATGCGGAGGACGAAGCATAAAATCGAATACAGAACTATCTTTTGGAAATAATGCTTTCTTTGGACGGATATGCTCATAAGATTTTTTACCAGTTTTCTCACATTTTATTTCAACCGCTTTTGGGGTTCCAAGTATTCGCAAAGAGAATGAACATTTATTTGCAATATTATCGACAATATTTTTTTCTCGTAAATCTATTGGAAGCTTTTTGCGAACGAGCTCAGTAAATACTGCAACCTTAGCAATATTTTTGAGTCGGAGACCAAAAGTTGATATATGAAGAGACATTTTTTTCTCGTCAGTACTACTGGCAATAGTTAATGTTTTGCGATCCCAATCCGGATATATTTCTAGACACACTTCTTTAAAGGCGCAACAAAGTAAATCCCGTATTTTTTTAGCTGTAAGCTTAAGCTTGGGTTTAATTTTATCAAATTTTTCTCTAGATAAATCAAAATCTATGAAGGGACGAAGTGGTTCATCACCATCAATGAATTCGTGTAGTGAATGTCCTTGCCGTTCACTAAGTATAGCTTCTATTCCATCCCCAGTATCTGTCCCTAGGAATTGTCTTGGTCTTACACTATCATCTCGAATTTTATACATATACACTCACTGGACAAAAGTCTACGTAATTTTTGTCGATCACATAGTAAAACATATGAAAAATCTATTT